CCCCCCCCCATCTCCCCTTCTTGCACCCATACCCAGTACCCCCTTTTTCATTCCAAGCACCCGGGAAAAAAATAAAAGAAAGAAAGAAAGAAAGAAAGGGTAAAGGAAAGGGAATCAGAATCGTTGGCTCGGGGAATGGCTGCTGCCGTTTGTCAAGCGGGGCTAAACAGGAACTCGCATCCAAGCGGTTAAAGGCCGTGGGTCTTATCTGAGGACAAACAGAATGCATCAAGCGGTGGCTGTTGCTCTCCGTGATGACGACCAGCTGTGCACCGATGTTTAATTATTTCTCTGTAATGAGCTTACCCACCTTCCACTGCAGCACCGAGGAAGACAGCACGCAACAGCAGGAACACTGGAGGGGAGACGGAGTGGAAAGAAAGAGCGAGATAACGCCATCCAGATGATCTTACTCATGGGCCTATTCCAAAACTGTGCCTGCGGTTTCTCTCGAATGCGACTCCGTGTTTAGACCGTGTGTTGGTGTTGCAGAGATATCAAATTTTTTTTATCTACATTTGACAAAGATTTGGTCAAACAGGTGAATTTTTATTATGGGTGACATTTAGCTTTTTGATTGTCAGCGGAGTGACCACCACCGATGAGTATATGATCAGCAAGGGCGTCATTTGTGGCGGGTAGGAACGCCAAGCGATCGTGTTTATGCATAAGCTAACATTTCCATATGAGCACAACAGACGGGCACAATGGCGCACCCGCAGATACACGGCTGATATTTACACAGTGGAACAGGGCTGAACAGGGCTGAATAGGTCATTATACGGCGAACGCATCAGAAAAGTTCAGCGATCACTTCAGCCCATTCAGAATGCCCTGAATACCTATTAGCCACACGTGTGAACAAATAGGTTAAAGAGACTCAATGTTAACAACTCGTGTAGAGTTTGTTTGCATAATAATACATCAGGATTATTTGCTAGATAATATATAGTTGTTGGGTTGGTTCCCTGCTAGAGTGTCAGTCCTTCCTTTGGAGGGTCTCAGAATAATGATGGCAGCTGACCCCGGATCTCTGGCCTCCCAAAGATCATTCCAATGATCAAAAAAAGCCTAAAACATCACTCTGTCCTGATAAAAATGTCCTTTGTTTGAGTTGGTGGAACTTCTTTAGTCTAGAAAGTTCATAAAATCAGACAGAAGTTGTCACTACAGATGTCTGAATCATCACACTTCCTCTAACAAGACCTCTCTGGGTTGTCAAGGCAACCGGTCGGAAATGTACATTTGAGAACTCTCCCATGTACACACACACACACAGACACACACACAGGGAAACATCCTCTCTGGTAAACTATGTCACGGCCTGCCATGGGGTTTATCATAACTATTTGATTAATCACCATCCCGAAAAAGTACACTGAATCTAAGAGATAAGATAGTCGGGGGGGTGACAGGGAGGTGAGCAGCGGTAGTTCTAACAGCGCTATCCGGTTTCACTGTTAATTAACTGGAGCTCTGCACAGCACTAACAAGGGCCCAGTCTTCCCGGAGCAACAGAAATAGGCCTGCCACTGGCCGCTCCCGCCAGCCAGCGAGCCTGCACTGTCTCACAGAGATTATCTCAACACAAGACACCTTTCAAGAAAGGTTAGCGCGCCATGTGTCTGAGGAACACCATCAGATGGATGCTCGCTTGATTTGCTTATCCATTATGAAAAAAAAAAAAGCTTGGCTTTAACCTTCGCTGTTTACCGGCGGGGCTCTGAGGCAATAATGTGATGTAGGTTTGAGGGGAGAGGACAACTGAATGAATGTCACTGTGATTTGATGTGGAACTTGATGGGCTGCATAGATGGCTGACTGCTTTGGGTTCTGGTGTGTGTTTCTTTCTTTCTTTTAGGAGAGCTGGATGGCTTCCTTAATAAAGACGGCGAGCGTCGTATCCACACCCGGCAGCAGCTCCCCGTGGGGACGACATGGGGACCCTTCGAGGGGAAGATCGAGATGAGCGCTGACAGCATTGCACTGGTATGTCCTCGTTCTAGTCAACTGCTGCATCGTTTGTGAATGTTTGGGCAACCACTGTTTAATATTAGCCAACCACAACAAGACAGGCTGACAACACGATGATTGGAAATGACTGGACAAGGTAATAGGGAGCTGACGGTACTAAATACAGGGTGATTTGAGAAGAAATCAGCTCAACTAATCTTATCACAAGGCACATCATTCCAGAGTTTAGGGGCCTTAAAGGTGCTTAATACGGAATTCAGAGCATATATTGCCTCCACATTGGCTCCCGACATGGCTGAGCCAGAGGCTAGAAGCTAACAGTGCTAACAGCACAAACAAAGCACGGAGAAGCTTGGATTACAACACACACAGGGGGAGAGTGGCGTCCTTCCCTGCTCAGGTAGACATTACTCCACTAGATCTTCTTGTTTGCTGCTATATTAATGCTCTGAATCCCGTAAAGAGAACCCTTAACAGTAAAGTAGCAGATCACCGCCAAGAGGTCACTGCCAGAGGATCTCAGGTTACTCTTGTTTGGTCTTCAAGCAATGTCGCTTGCTGGTCATGCAATGCTCTAAACTTTAGCAGAAACATCAATCCTAAAAGGAACAGAGAGGCAGTGTAAAGAAGCTAGAACTGGTGTGATCCCATCTGGTAGTTTGAGGTTAAAACCCTGCAAATCTAAATGAAAGTGAGTGAAAGGAGCCGACGCAATAATCAGGACGAGACAAAATGAAGTCATGTGGGGCAGATTTTAGCGTCAATAAGAAGAACGTCCGTCTTGTACAGAATTCAGCTGAAGAAAGTTGTTTGCCATCCAGTTTTTTTTACCTTGGCTAGACAGTCCTGGGTTGAGTGCAACATACCAAACTCAGTGGGGTTTTATTGGAAGGTGTATAATGAGGCATACTTTACAAGGTGTTATAATTGGATCCTCTGAAGCACTTTGTTGGAAAAGGTCAAACTGTCCATTGGTGGGGTGATGAATAAAAAGACAAAGCAGGTCATGCTACAGTAGAAGAGGATATGGACCCACTTTCACGAACCGAGAGCCCAAATGATGTCTTTATTATTGACTTGCTTCAAAATATGAAAGAATAATAATTAATTTATTAACCGTTAGTGAGCCACTAGTCACCGTTTATAAAGTATGCCTAATTAAAAACAGTTTGTTGGACTAAAGGGATGATTAAATTCATTTATTTGGTAAATCTTTGCCTGTGGCAGCCATGGGAACACGATTGTCCTACTGTACATCTAAAGATCGTATTAATGGCAATTCCCGTGACATTCAAACCCATTGAGGTGGGTCTCCTGGGACCCAACTGGCCCCCTTTGAAGTGCATCCATTTCAACCACTTAATCTGCATATTTCATGACAAAACGCTTTAATTGGTGGATTCTGAGCTCCATCCAGGCTTCAACTGAATGAAGTCACAATCCATTATTTTTGATGTTACCCTGCACACAGCAGCCTTTATGTCTCTTGTTTCAAAGAGGCTGGTGTTGACCCGCTGCTCCGGTGGAGTGACGAGCCCCTCCACGGGTTTCAGATTCCATTCTGCATTTGGATTAATTAAGAAATTCCTATTAAAATGGTAACCAAGCTCACATTCATCCTGTTAAGGAACATAAGGAAAAGTCCGTGAGGATTTTTGGTACTCAGAGGCCCCCCCCCCACACCAACGTTTTTCTTCCTTAAACTTTACTAAATCATTTTCGGAGCAGCTTTTTCAACTGTTTTCTAAGCTCCCCTCGTGGTTTTGAAGTCATCAGTGGCTTTCAATAACCCGGGCCGTATTATAGCCATGAAATATGACTTCTCTCAGGGTAAAGCCAGTTATCCTTGGGCGGAAAAGTGATTTGACAGAGCAACACCTCAAGTTGCCTCCCAAAGTAACACACTCCGTATACTTCTCCAGCAATCTCTCCATGAATTTCCCTGAAAAGCGTCCAACCCTTCAACCATCAAATGACCCTGCTGACTCACGCGGAAATTATCTTTTGAGAATCTTTTTGTTGCTCGGGTGTTTTTCGCAGACACAAACTTTACAAATTCATCACCCGGCTGACTTAGCTGCATACGCTGATTGTTGCTCTTGGCTAGAGTGATACGTTCTTAACTAACTGCCCTCGGAGGAATTCATCCAGATCCTCCTCAGGTTTTTCTTATTTTTTTTTATTTTAAGCGAGCAGGTGCTGGTCATCACCTGTAATAGGCTGTGGAGGGGTTACAGAATATGCCAAACCTCCCTCGCAATTAAAAGCCAAGGAAGACGCTTTGGCATATTGCCTTTAAGGATCTCATGTGTGTCTATTCTCCCGGGGGGCCCTCTCAGTGCTTTGCCGCTTGCCCTCCTCTCTTAAGTTTCATCTCTCCAACGGGGTACTGGCTGTTAGCAGCTTCTCACTATCTCTCATTAAAGGCTAGGTCAACCCAACTGGCATGTTTTGTTTTACCGAGCCTCCTTTCAGGGTTCAGTGTAACTTTTCACTTTGTTTCTTGGATGCAGAACGAGCCAGAAAAATATCAGCCGATCCCTCGTATTCAGGCACGTCACCAGGGAATCATCTCATTTACAGTAGCGTATGGTTTTTTTTGTTTTTAAATGATTATTGAGCTGTTGCCTTGTTAAAACATGCAGCCGTTGGCAACATCCGTAATGTGTGTGCTGCGTTTATCTCAAGTTATTTCAGTGGGAGGCGAGGGAGTTCTGCAAACCTTCCAACACGGACGCATCAAGATGTGGAACAAACCCTGATGCCTCACCTGGAGAGGGGGGAAGGAAAGTAGAAAGAACAAATGTAAAAGTGAGCAGACAAAGAAGAAGAAGAAGCCAGATCAGGGCGGCCATTGCTGCAGAGCGGGGTCAGAGGGCAGCCAGAGAGTGTTTGAGGTAGAAATAAAGGCTCATTGCTTCAGCTAGGAGGCACTCTCAGTCATTCTTATGAAGTGTGACCTCCACAGACTATTAAATCTCCTTTTACTCTCTTAGCTTTTTTTTCTCGAAACTATGGAGGTGAATGAATTACCCGAAGGCGGCCAGGTATATGGCAGGAGCGGCACCTCTCTCGTGAATGAAGCACATGACCCGCGCGGTGAGATATTGATATGCCCTCTCTGAAGTCAAACATATTTTACTCCCTCCGTCCAGACGCGTCATTTCAGATACGACTTTTTAGAGGTCAGGCTATTTTTGTCGAGCTTGCCACGGGTCCGTTTCTCGATCCTTGGCACGGCGCCCGGAGAGCGGCTGAAAGTGTAACGTCTCCTTGAAGTGGCTCACAGTAAATAATGAAAAATCTCGTGAGCTTAAGCAGCTTTTTTTTTGCATTAAACTGGAGCAGGAGCCGCTTAGGAGCAGGGCACGTGTAGGTCCGGCCCGGAGTCTGATGTAGGGAGGTGGGCGAGGTTTGCTGGTCCCCTGAGGTAGCGAACGGGAGCTGCAGCCGGTGGACGACAGGCCTCAGTAGCCGTGCCCCAGGAGTGATGGATGACGCCGGAGAAAAGAGCGGCGAATGGAGCGTTACGCGCGGTTGTCCAGACAGGCCTGGAAAGGGAGGTGTAGAGCTTGAAAAAGAAGAGAATGAGAGAGAGGGGGGGGGGGCAGGGAAAAAACAGAGGGGAAAAAAAGCATGACAGGAAATCTGGGCATCTGCAGGACAGAGATAGGGTCACATCTCGACCGTTTATCAAAGAGGAAAGCAGATTTCACAGCTGATGGGTCGGCCGTGGCAGGTCTGTAGACCCCAGGGGCTCAGTCTGGCGTGAGGCACTGGAGTTATAGCTATTGCTGTTGCAGACCTGTTAACGAAATCACATTGCGCTGTATCAGGGCAGCACATGTGCCTGGCTTTACTGTGGTCTTTACCGTTCTTAGATCACCCACCGATTTGAGATGTTTTTGGTCTAAATACAGAACTGGTTTCCACATGTAACATCTTTTAAAGACGATAAGGAGGAGATGTAAGGCAGCCTAAATGGGACACAACAGAAGGCTCTTAACTAGATTGACAGACAGAGACCAGAGTCTGAGCTGAAGACTGAGGAGTGGGACCCGGGTTGGAGCGCTCTATGGCGAGAGAGGCAGAACAGCAAGACAATAAAAACAACAGAATAAAACACCCTAAGAGTTGGCGCTGTGCTGCTGTCGTCAGCTGCTTCCTCTGCCCCGCTCCTCTTCCTCCTCCGCCTCCTCTCTGTCTGACTGATGGAGCTGCCAGAGTCCCGTCTCATCCCTCACTTCTCTCACTGATCAATCAGACCATTAGACTCCAATTACAGCCGCAGCCCCGGCGCAGGTGAGCGACGAGCACATTCAGCCCCGGCTGCCGACAACGCCTCCACCCCGGCTTCCTCTCACACGCTCTCTCTCTCTCTCTCCCAAATTAACGCAAATTAATAGTGACACTCAGACATAAATGTCGGCGGTGGACGGGGCTAAATTAACAGTCTGGGTCGAAGCTATTGAGTAGCAGGTGTCTTTTTTAAAAGAGGTAATTACCTACGCCGGACAGAACCGGGAGGAGACGGTCGGCCCCGCCGGTTTGCCTGGAGTGAGAGGCCTGGCCTCGATGAGCCTGGCTCCCATTGTAGGTGCTAATAATTGATTGGGAGGAGCGCTATTAATGAGCAGCAGATTTAGAGCTCGGTTGTAAACGTGTGTTGATGAGGGTGTTGCCGCCTCTCGTACAATGCCTTACCAATGCTAATTACTGGGGCTTAGTCAAGGTGCACTGTAATGAGTCTGGATTCAATAGAATTCTGGTCTGCATGTGTTTTGAGGGCCTTTTAGTGCAAATGACATGGCAATTGCAATGCATAAGGCTCGCGTGATTCCAGATCAAGATCTATCGGGTTTTATCTTGTCCTCCATCTTTATACAGTATACACTTGTTATGTTAGCGCTTATACGAGAATATGGTTCATGATCCCATACTCGGGTCCAGAAACAAAAGCAATGAATTGGAAGGTTGCAAGGGCATAATAAGAGTCACTAAGCACTATAGGCTAT